GGATATTAAGACACATAAGTTTTGGAAACTTTTTACATAACATAGTTTGGAGTAATATTGTAAACACATAGCCCAAATTCGGAGCCATGTGATTGTTTGTGCGCTGTAAACAAGCCATTCGTTTGTTTGAGTCTTGCATTTGAAATTCGCGCGCTTGCAAAAGAACACGTTCAACTCGTGAAACTTGACATGTTCGTTGTGTTTTTTTGGCGCTTCCTCCAGGACCTCATAAAAACGATGTCTCCGTTGCTTTTAACTCCAAAAACGAAGTCCAGTTTGATCCCAAACCATCGGTGCCGGGCCCTGGCCTGCGCCCGTCCGGTCGCGTTGAGCAGCTATCGACTAACCGCTCGACTACCGCACTGTACCGCACCTCCACCTACCCACACCGCTGCTTATTCTCGTTATTCTGGTTATTCGCCTGCATCCATGGTCAATATCAAGGAAACCGCGGTCTATCCATTGGAACCAGCAGAGCGCCAAAGGAAAAGAAGGCTTAACTTCGATGAGTCGCCAGAGACGTCGCAGGACTTCTACACCGCCACGAATGCGCTTATTCAAGACCAGCAAATTCCGCTCTACGCCAGAACAATCCTAGCGTACCTCATGATAGCCGGAAAGAAATGGAAGAAATGATGAGGAACAACCGTGAGTTAATGGAGAATGTCAAAAAGCTATCGGAAGAAGTCGTTTCTCTTAGAACAGAAAAAGGCTTAAAAGAATCTATTACTAGATCTGCTTTTGTTCAATCGACGGAAAAGGTCACAAAGGATGGTCAAATGGAGGGCAATGAAGAACGAAGATCATTGGTCCTTATTGGAGTACCTGGAGCCATGAAAAGTCAAGCAAGTGCCGAGTCAGGCACGACAACAATTGTTTAGGTCAAATCCTTGACTTCTTGGATATTGGATGTTTTTCGTTATGTCATATCGCGTGGGCAAGCCCAACCACTCTCATAATCGATTATTCAAAGTAGTATTATTACCATCTTCTTTTTTTGCTAGATTGACGCTTAAACGCGCTCCTTTGATGAAGAACTTCTCATATAAGGGAGGTATCTACATTAGGCCATCTGTGCGAGGGAGGAAAGAGAAAATTTTGAACTCGTGAGGGGCTCAAAACGTATCGATACTGATATCGATCGTAGCAATGTCAATGTTCCTAATCAAGATCATAATCGCATGGATGTATCGATTAGTAACACTCCTCATACACAAGTGGTTGATTCTTCAAAAGCATAGAACCTCTTTGGAAAGCTGATAGTTCTCTCTTGTGCTTTGTAACAAACATTAGATCGCTGCAGAAAAACATAAATAGTCTCAGATTCTTCCTCTGTGGTAATTCATCAAGCGTAGAGGACTTACAGAAACTTGGTTGGTGGGTGACTATGATATCAGCAATGCATCACCTTTCGGTGATACTTATGAAGTGTACAGGTGTGACAGTACATGTAAAAGAGGGGGAAGTGTCGCATTTTTGATAATCAGGTCTTTGTGTCCCCAATTTATTTTTAGTGAATCGGTTAACTATGGTTATGAGGTCTTATGTGTTGACGTATTGACCAAGAGTAAGAAAGTTCGATTGATTTTCATCTACAGAACACATTCTTGCTCCAATAGAACGTTAGAACAGACGACTAAGGCAATTTCTGATCTAATAATTTGTGACTATCCATCCTTAGTACTAGGGGACTTCAACTTGCCCATTATCGATTGAGACACTTTTGAAGTACCGAAAGGCAAGGTCGCGGCAAAAAATTTTCTGAATATGTGCATTAGTCATCAGCTGATACAGAAAGTCAAATCATATACTTCGGGTAATAGTATAGTCTGCCCCAATCCCAACCAGGCTAAAATTGGCATGGCGGGAGTCCGCGTCGCTTGGGTTTCGCGGTCACGCCCACGGCCTGTTTCTCTGCTCTCTCTCCAATCCTTTGACTCTCTCCGACAGCGCGCATATGCAGCGCAAACGCTTAGCGCTGCGAGCGCGCAAATTTACGCCAACGGTTTGGCCTGATCCGAATTGGAGCAGACTGTATACTAGATTCGGTTTTTACCAATGATAAAGGGCTGGGGACTAATGTTACAGTTGAGCCACCCGTTGGTTCAAGTGATCACGCACTCATTAGTTTTTGGATGAGTAGTACCGGTGAGGTCCAGAAAAATTACATTTTGAGAAGGGATTATAAAAAGGCTGATATGGTTGGTGCTGTGAAGTACTTAGTAATGATTGACTGGTGTGGTTCATTGAGTGCAGCTAGTACAGTCAATGAAATGCATGAATTACTCATATTCATACTTCACCATACCATCGATCTTTTTGTCCAATGAAAATGGTACCTGAGGGCAAGTATACCGTGCCCCAAAACATAGAGAGACTTTCCCATCTTAAGACGAAGGTTTGGTTCAAAGCTACTAATACCGGTAGAGAAAGAGATCTGGCACAGTTCAAAGCAATCAGTTCAATGCTAGAAAAAAGACTAAAAAGATATAACGCCTATCTAGAAAGGAAGATAGTCAAATCGGGAAATAAGTCAGCTTTCTATCAACTTTTGAACCGAAGGCTCAAGGCCAAAAACAGGATAGGAGTCATTTACTCAAAAACGGGTGAAATTTTGATATCTGACTTAGATAAAGTTGAGGGCTTTGCCGACATGTTTGAAAGTGTTTTTGAGGGATTGTGAAAACATACTTTCGGATATCAATCGGCCTAGGTTCCAAGGTATGAAGGATTGTGCTTATTTCAATGATGTTGAGATTTATGAGCTACTCCGCAAATGGCCTGAGTCCAAATCTCTGACTCCTGACTTCATACCCTTGTATTTTAACAAAGAGGTTACAGTTCATATTCAATCTTAGCTTGATGCGATCAGAAGTCCCGCATAGATGGAAAGTCTCTTTTGTGACACCTATTCCTTAAAAGAAACAACATGGCAATGTCTCCAGTTATCGGCCAGTGAGTATCACATTGATTTTTGCCAGATTTATTGAAAAAATTATCAAAAAGCCAATACTAAAACATTTGCAAGATCAAAGCATAATCTCACAAGCATAGCACGGATTTCAGAAGGGAAAATCAACCGTAACTTCCATGTTATACTCACTGAATGATTAGACTCGTTGGTTAGAGGAAAATAAGGGGATTGATGTTGTCTGTCTGGATTTTACGGAAGCATTTGACAAGGAGTCGCATTCAAGACTTATACAAAAGCTAAAGCTAGTTGGAATTCATTACTCTATTGTTTCATGGATTGTTTCCTTTCTAATAATCGTACCTTCAGTGTTCACATTGGAGCTTTTTCTAGCCTGAGGGCAATGCCTAGTGGAGTCCCACAAGGCGGGGTGTTGTCCCCAATTCTCTTTAACATTTACACATATGAGCTTCCTCAGTTAGTTTCTGAGGCGGGAGTGACATGCTGTGGATTTGTCGACGATTTCAAGATATACAATTCAGTAGCAGGAATAGTAATTAAGAAATAAAATGCAAGAAGCACTAAACCGAGTAGTAGAATGGTCTGATACCTGGAAATTGCCCATTTCACGAGACAAAACCAAAGTTCTTTACCTCGGACCTCCGGTTATCGATTACAATTATCACATAAAGGGTGAAGTTCTTGATTATGTTGAAGAGATAAGACCTTGTGTTTTTAGCGAATAGTCGGCTGGATTTCGATAGAAATTGCGAAAAACTTGCAGCTAAAGAAATTTCGGCAGTATATAATCTGTTCAGAGTCCTTTCCACAACTGATATTGATATTCTCATGAGGGCATATAAGATGTACATAAGACCTTTATTAGAGTATGGAACGGTAATCTTCAATCCAACGAAGCCGAGAATTGTACAAGTGCTGGAAAGAGTACAAAACAGCTTTACAAGGAAGTTGTTGATTAGAACCAAAGCTCTCAAATACAGCTTTTACCCAACGGAAAGGCTCGAAATAAGGTCTTAGAATTGGTCAGCCTATCCAGTAGAAGACGGAAGTTTGATCTTGTTATGGCTCACGAAGTATTATTTGTAGATTTCCAACTCAATTCCTGCCAACTTTTTTGAGACTAGAAGTTCTATTTCTAGAAGGGGACTTCAAAAAGTGGTAATACGAGCAGGGAGGAATGTGAGAAGAAGATTCTTTACAAACAGAGTCAGCGGCGATCTAGATAAACTGATGAGAAAGGGTATGCTTCCCTTCGAATTGTCTCAGTTCAAAATGATTCTTGAGGACTAACTTCTTTCGCCGTAATTCCTTCATACGATTGTTAGTCCTACTAATTTGTTGTGTTGATTGTTTTGCTTACACTTTGGTGTCTTGAATGTAATATGCACAGGAGCTTCCTACGCAATAATAATACTAATGAAAATAAATGATTTCTTTTGGTACTGGCCTTGATCTACAACTGATTTCAAGTGACCTACAATCAATTCACTTAGCACTTCTGACAGCTTCAGTAGTTTTACGACCATAGTACTATTTTTTACTAGGAAGCTTTTCAAGCTAATCTTTTTTTTCAATTTTGAGATACTGCAAAGCTGTTCTATATGGTTCATTTGACTTGGAAAAGAGCCAGTATGCCCAAATCTGATACAATGCCGATTTTTATCAAGTGGTTGCAAAAAAGTCAAGAGGATTCTGGAAGCAATCGTACGAAAAGTCCTTCCTGTATGACTTGGTGACTTCCATAAATGATGGACATACACCTATTCTTCCGTAGCTTGCCTTCTTTGTAGAAGCGTCGCGATGTCCGAAGTAGTGTTATAATAAAAAATAACAAATTTTATCGGTAGCTCATCCAAAAAAACTCTTTATTCACTTCTATATATATGTTATTGTATGTTGAAAGCGCAGAAGCGGTATTAGTTGAGCGAACGCGAACGCGGCACGGGCGCATCTTCACCGTTGTAAATCCTGCGCTTCATGCGCTCTGCTAATAAAGCCGCGTTCGCGTCCAGATATACTGCGGTTTAGTCATGCAGCAGCCTATACAGTCATTCAAATTCATTTCACTTCAGTGTGAGACTCCGCGTTTCAAATTCTCAATATTTGCGTCTATACCCGTAACAATAAAAAATATACCTAGAACGAGATAAAAAGTGTTCAAAATCATGATTATAATCAGCTTTGGGAGAGCCATCTCTCTCCACCATTTTTGCATAAAAACTATAGTTTCTATCAAGGAAGGAAATACAAGCCCGAGTAGCATGCCTGCTATGATTCCCACAAGTGGAATGATCTGTTCGAGATTCGGTATCAACCAGGCGAGTCCAACTGAAAGGGTCTGATTTCATTGCTAAAGCAGCGTCTAGAGTTGCAGGTGCCAGTTCCGTTCCAAGGCCGTCTCAATTCCGTGCCAGAATCCACTTGTGCATATGCCGCGTATTGATTGACGATCAATCTTGACAACACATCCTGATCACGCGGCAAGCGCTGAAGCGAAAGTGAAAGTGCACTTAAATGGCGTTGGAGCGGCGTTGGCACCAGCAGCTCTGAACGCAGCCTCAGGACGGTCGTAATGCCACTCACGTACGAGAAAGACCAAAGAAAATCGGAAGCAGTATTCGAGGCCGATTATCCAACATCTTCTAACATTTCGTTTTCGAAGCGGTCTCTTGGCTAGCTGCCAAATTAGCACTATCAAAGGGTACTGCATAATGAGAAAACTAGTATAGACAACGCACAGCAGCATAGCTTTCACCGCAACGTTCAGCCTGAAATAATTTAGAATCAAGACGGTGATAAATGGTTCGAACTTACGGAGAATTTGATAGATTCAGTGTGATAGATCCTTGTACAGCATCGCCAAAAGTTATATAGCCGTAAAATCCGCAAGCAGCGTAGATTATTGTGACCAAAGAGGCGCCAGTGGATAACACTCCAGTATAACCAGTCATCTCCTTCGGATGCTTCATTTTGTTCTCAAGTGGCAGCACCTAAGAGAAGTTTGGTAACCCAAATGGGTGAAATGAAATTTTAGTCAACTTCAAACCGTTGCGATCCCTTCTAAAGCGTACAATATGGAGCCGGCAGCTAGAAATAGTCCATTGAGGCTAGTAAATGCTGGTAGAGAGTAGGTTGGAATGTGCTTGAAGGTAACCAATTCCTGGAATCTCATACTGTATCGGAAGAGATTTTGGAACCCGAATTTCTTACACTCAAAATTATCGCCAAACTTGTGAACACGAAGACGTTGCCTATCAGCGAAAACAGTGACAGTACGTAAAGACTTCGAACCAAAGACAATACAAGAAGAGCCGGTAATGTGAAAAGAAAGTAAATATTACGATGAATAGTGCTTTGTGGCCAAATGATTTCAACAACCTGCAAACAGAAAAAGAATTACAAGCTCTGCAGTAAAAGTAAAAAATTAACCTCCTTAAAATGATCGACGATGAATATATAGTAGACGCTAAGGATACCCAGCTGTGACAGAATCAAACAGATGTTTATGATCCATCTGGAAGAGATTTCAAAAATTGGCAAGGATGTACGGTGAATCCTAAGGCTGCGCCCAGAGTCGTGCGTGTCAAGACCGTGCCACCGCAGTTCCAGCGTTGCGCCAATGCCGCGCCAGCGCAATATCGTTAAAGAGCTGCGTGAAAGGCTGCATACTGACCGATCGATTGCATTAATCGCGTGGACACGCTGCATATATGATATATATTGATTGATCGACTTCGACGGCGTAATTCTGCATGACGATTGCAAGGCGCTGGAGCGGCGCTGGCAAGGGTAACTCCTCACAGTCTAGCACTTACCTTGCCACATATTTGAACTTTCGTAACTGTTTATGACTGTTGAACGCTTCCTGCCCTAACTGTCCGTAATCCAGCGGCCCGCATTTATACCTAAACATTAGCGTAAAAAAACTTCTACTCAGAAAAATTTCTACCTCCTACCTTTCACACAGATATTGTGCGCTAACAACAAGCTTTATCATACACAAAGCTGCTATGATACCGAATATAAAGACAACTGTGAAGGCACACTAAATTGAAGCAGATTACCAAGTTATAGAGAGAAAAAGGTAGATTGCCAACTGTACCCAAAGACCAGCTTGTTTGAAAGCGAGAGGTAAAGCCAGGCATCCAGGCCCAATCATACCCTTTAAGAAGTTAATTAGAGCAAACGTTGTGCTAAAAAAATGGAACTTAGAAGCTTAGTTATTCTGACATCTATTTAGAAACGTACGAGATCTTCTTTCGTTTTGAGTTGCGGTTGGTATTCGACTTCAAATATTTTTCATCAGTTTCAAAATGTTCAGGAATAGGCGAGTTGCTGTCGACCACAGCTGTGGACCCTGGCATCTTGGCAAGGGTGGGGCTGTACCTGGGGAAAAATCGGATAGTATAAAAAAGCAAAGGGTACGATGCAGATTTAGCTGCTGCTTGCTAGTTAGTATAATCGAGAATCTTCCAAAAAGCTTCATTCCTTTTTTCATTTTTGTAAATGCTTGCTTGTAAAATAGCAGGTTGGAGGGTGAATTGACTTTTATAAACTTCTTAAAAATTCCAGAAGCTTTCCAAAGTTCAAATTTTGTCTCTCATATGTGGGGCATGAAAGCTGTCAACGAGCTTATGACACTTTGTAATCGCACTCAAATTTTCATTTTTTTCCTTATTTTTAACTGCGCTCCCCCTATACTTTTCAAAAACATACGTTATTGTCTCTCCTAGGGCTGCACTGTGATGCTTCCACTCAGACAAATGACCGGAACTTCCGCAAAGCGCTTGCGGAAGTCCCACAGGGTCACTTGCGGAAGTTCCGTAAACGTGCTGCGGAAGTTCCGAAATGAGGTTTTGCAGAAGTTCCGAAGAATGCCAACCACAACAGCAAAAGACACCGAAGTGAGATTTGAACCTCACTCTATTGACCATGAGACCTACCTACTATCCTCTACGCTACACTGACATGTTCGATAATGCACTCTAGTTGTTGGCGAGGCAACATCACGAGACAACACATTCAAAGTCCTGCAGAAGTTCTGGCAGGCCAAAGTACTGCGGAACCTCTGGCGTTTTTCGGAATTTCCGCAGGATTTTGAAGAAGGTTCTGCGGAAGTTCCGGTTTTCAACTAGTCTGACATGAAAATCCCGCGGAAGTTCCGATTTTCAACGTTTTCATTTTTGCAATAGTGAACAAAATCCTGCGGAACCTCTGCAAATTTGGTCCTGCGGAAGTTCCGGTGATTTGTCTGAACAGGTTTTCAAAAACGAGGAACGAGAAAAATGAATAATTCAGAAAAGAATTATTGTGCGCACAGTATAGAAACTGATACAGAAAACTTAGGAACAGATCTCTAAAAAAAATTTCTGGGCAAAAAATGGATGTTTTGTGCGGGGTGGGGAAAGGGCTTTACACCTCTTCAACATGCCTTGGACATGTTGAGGAGGTGTAAAGATTTTTCGAAAGATTCTTTTTTTTTTGAGAACTAGGAATAAAACCGTAACAAAAATTATTGAGAACCTAATGACTAGAAAAATGAAGACGTAGTACAAACATGCGAGACGATGAGTAGAAATGTTTTGAAAAGTGTTGGGACAAAAATTTTGGACATCCGTCTAGACAATGAGTCAAAGCAAACTGTAACCAAAATACGCACGCAACTTCTTCTCGTACCTCAACGAAGCTAATTTTGTTAGTTTGAACGGTTTGGTGTTCATCCTTTGACATTTCATAAAACATTTCGCGGCAGAAATAACACTGCAAATTTATAGAGTAAGGAAACACAAATACTTTAAAGACTGCTTCAAAATATTTGCACACAAAGAGCGAGGAGAATTAGCTTTCTGCCTTTGAGAACACACATTACACATTCAATCATTAATTCATTAGTGTGCCTATCTAGACCCGTGATGACAAAAACTAGTAAGGGTTCGATAGAGCAAAGCTTAGAAGATGTGGCAATTTTCTCTCCTTTCCATTGATTGCCACAGTTTTTTGGAAAATTCTCACCAAAACCGGATTAACAGGCCTTAGTCAAATAAAAACACATCAAACACCAACAAACCTTCGGAACAAAACTTCCAAAATGTTATTATGAAATCTTTTACAAAACCAATAAGCGTTGACGGATTTGAAATATCAAATTCCGAATTTTTCGGGTGCAGCCCGAGGAGCGTTGGAAAACACGAATTATAATAATTTTGGTCCTCGAGGACTCCACGAATCGGAAGAGAATTACCATTCGAAAAAGGAGAAAAAGCTACATCGAAAGACCTTCGCATCGCCGTTTGATGTTCTGCGACGTTTGAGTTGGCCAAATATGGAAATTAGTAACATCAATTGAATTTCTATTAATAACATATGGCGAGATATGGGAAGGAGATTGTTTTGTATCTTTAGAGATTGCTCTATCCATACATTACTTGGGCTTCTCCAAATGAGAAAATAGAGAAACTTGAGTACGTCAAAAAGCATGGGTCGCAAATTTTGGTAATTTCCCTAAAGCTTATTGACCAGGCTGTGATGAATTCATAACCATTAAAAAGAGGACAAAATGTTGCATCGTAGGTTTCAAGATCTCTTAGAAATCTTTGTTCCATCACGTGTGGCGAACGTTTGAAAAAAGCGAAATTACTTTCGGAACGACCTACTATTAGCTTAATCGAAAGTCTTTTCACCACTTTCAAATAATCGTAATTTCTTCCTGCCATAATTTTGCTTGTCAATGATATTACTAGAAGGACTTAGCGTACTTTTTGAGGACACCCTGCTTACTCCCCCTCCCCTCTCTCTCTGTCTCTCCCTCTACTATGCTCCGTTTGCAGAAAAAATGCAAAAAGGAAACTGTTTGAAGATTTGGTGATATGAGGCAAGTCCGTCAAAAATAAAAAAACTGGGCAATGAAATACAGAAAAGTGAAAAGTATAAGTTTTCTAAACCTTCTTTCTGATCGAGCAAAATTTGTGCTGACTGAGCCTTTCTATGAGAAAAAAATTACGTCTCGAGAAAAAAAAACGAAAAATCAATTTCTCCATATTCCGCTGTATTCTCCAAAACCTAACATTTCAAAGAAGAGCTTCAGCACAAGTCTGTCAGAAAAATTGGCATTAGAAATTTGTCGGTTAGAAAACTTGTGTTTAAGACTGTCTCGCATTTTATAGCATGATTTTAGATTTTTTAGAGGGCCTGTTCAAAATCACGGAATCACGGATTGACGCAATCAAGATTTCGTTTCAAGCTAAATATCTTATATATAAAGCTGAATGTCTGTTTGTATGTCTATCTGTCTGTCTGTCTGTATGTGTATACGTATGTTCCGAATAGAAAATTCCATTTCTGAACCGATCGAGACCAAACTTAGCACACATACACTTCGGGCCCCGGCGGGTGTCAAGGCTACTTTTCGTCATCGATCGATATCGATTTTATCGATTTTTTGCAAAATTCGAAATAGCTAATTTTACCGTCGTTGTCTGTCGGAACTATCCTTACTAACTAATCTTCTACCTTCCAATCTAGCATGCTGGTCACCCCCACGGGGGTGATCAGCATGCTCGATTACCCCCTGTGCCAACTCCCACCCCCGTAGCTCAAATTTTGCAAAAAATCGATAAAATCGATATCGATCGATGACGAAAAGTAGCCTATGACACCCGCCGGGGCCCGAAGTGTATGTGTGCCAAGTTTGGTCCGGATCGGTTGAGAAATGGAATTTTCTATTCGGAACATACGGCGGAGCCGGGTAAGCCAGCTAGTACGAAATATTGCAAGGCATTCATGCAATCTCTGAGTACCTAGGTTATTGTGAGATCTGTTGAGAGATCTCATTCCACGAAAGCGTCTCATATTATAGTCAGGGCTCAGCACAGGTGGCTTATGAGCAAGCCGGATATTGTTTTTGCTACAAAAGCAAGGGGGTTTCGTTCTTGTGGACGAAAAGACACAGAATTTGCGATGTTTTTTTTGGTCGACGTTTCGATTCTTGAAGGTTTTTTTGGGATTAAGGTTTAGGGTCAGAGGGGGCTTTGTTAAGATCCGCAAAGTCGAGGGGAATTCTTTTGCATTTTTAACTAACCACCTCGTATCGAGCTCTGATTATAGTGTGGACCCCGGCCAGCTCCCAATGGTACCTGTGCGACGCACCGCAACGAGCAACTTCAGTGCGTCTCCTGTCCTAGCTTCTGATGGAACTCCTCGCTTCTCTCTCATTTTCCTGTTTTTGATGTACTATATTCCCTCTATTTTATAAGCAATCTGCGATGACTGGTAGCGAGGTTTTGCCTGCTCTAATGGTTCTGAGAGCTTCAGTCTTGAGTAGTAATTTGTGTTTTTCCTTTTTTTAGAGAAATTGAGATCTCAGTAAATTCTAAGGAAATATTGCTTCAAAAGTTCTTGTATGAAATAAGAGTCCCTTTCGGCTTGATTCGTAACTAGACAGTGCCTCAACTCAAAATTAAGCCTCTCGAGAAGCTGGTAGGGATTTGCTTGCTGAAATGTCCACGTTTTTTTTGAAACTTTTTACCTCTCTAGTTCCCACTTCTAGGATGAGAAACGTTTTGAGAGTGCTGTTGCTCTTTTTCTGCTCTATATATACTTATAACCGCTTATTCATCAGTGCAAGTTTGAAATTTGCATCCATTATTTGAATTTGAGGTACTAACAGAGGTTGCGTACGTTTTAATCTTGCATAGGTTTTTTTCGAAGTGAACCTAGAGGTTCTCCTTCTGAATTCCCTCCTATGTGTGCGTAGATATGCTTTACTCCTCATGAGTAAGGTCAGAAGCATCAACAGGCGCGCGCTGCGGATACGCCGCGGAGTTATAGTATGGACCCCGGCCAGCTTCTCATAGGTACCATCGCGGCGCATGCGCAACGCGGGCCCGACTTGGACGCTTCTCATTTCACTTACGATCAGAAAGCATTTCTGCTTGAACAAGGAGTGAAAAGAGAGGTGGAAACTTCTATACGAAATTTGAGAAAAGCCAAAGCATTAAGAGAACGTTCATAACTTTCTCCAGCGCTTAGATTTTAGTCAGTCTCATTGGTGCTAGTATGACACTACCATAATGGGTGATAGAGATACCAGAAACAGTCGAGGAACACTTTTAAAACGTTTTTTTCTGCGGTCACAAAAGCTAGAAAGTTTGAGATCAAGAGCAGAATGTTAGAAGCAAAGCCCTAACGCCGCGATAAAAAGCCCAGAAACATCCTAGATAAAAATCAATCGGATGTACAGGCTTATTTTGTACCAGCGCGTCACCTCTGCTTCGCAGAGGCTCGCACTGGCTCTACTATCTATGTGCCCTACTCATTCTCGTAAAATCGTGGCAATGGAACTCACCGCGCCATGCCGACTATCAGGAATTAAATGTAAACAACCTCTCATTTAGAAAGCTTTTTCACGTGAGATCGGTGATTTCGCGTGGATGAAACTTTTCACAGGAAGAAAAACGCAAATTTGAATAGGTTTTTGAATTTGTCATGGCTTGGTAGTCGCCATAAAAGCAATAGTAATCGTGAGCTACATCTCTGTGCGAAAATCTTCTGAAATGCTTGGATAGAACCTTGGCAAATTAACCATTTACGCAACCAATTCTTTTTGGCGCCGTTTTCGTTATGTAGTAAACTTTTAACCACTTTTTGGGCTAAAGTCTATCGTTTGCACATTTGCTAACCAAACACACCCACGACTTCGCAAAAAGTGGTGATACGGACCCAATTTTGCGGGACAGAAGCCAGGTGGCTCCGTTTGGCGCGCAATTTCTGAGGGATCCACTCAACGTATCTACTCGTGCTTTTGCATGTTAGACTTTCATGAAGGGAGCATGCGCTATGCAAAATTTGGGCTTAGAACACTGGCTGGAACACGCTCTACGAATTTCGTAACAGACGGACACACACACACACACACACACACACAAAAACACGTAAACAACCCTTAGCCCGTTATTATAAGGTCTTGATAGCAGCCATTGAAGAGACATCCCCATATACTAAATTCAAGTCTTCACTATCGAGAAAAAGAGATTGATTTAAAGCGGTCAAGGCTGTCAAGTCTCGTAAAAACGCGTCAACGGCAGTCGTCGTGAGTTCTTTGCACCTAAAATAGAGAAAATACGGAATAGAAAAAGTCACTTGAGAGAGAAAACAAATTCAGTAGATCTGAAACGAAAAGCGCACTAAAGGCATGCGCTGCGCGCGCGTCGCGGAGGTACCTAAAGGAAGCTGGCCGGGGTCCACACTATACCTAGGAGAAACTGGCTGGGGTTCACACTCTATATGCTCGCGGTCCAGATGTTCAACACTAGGTTCGCGCTAGCATTGTCCATCCAATCAAGTTTTCGAGTATGCTACTGGGTAAAGAGTTAATCTTGATCGTATCGAAATAAGTGGACTGCTGCAGGTTGTTGCCAAATCTACAGACCTTTGTTATCGGTGTGTCAGCTAATACAAACACTGTTTGTTCTAGCTGACACAATTTAAACCTATATTTCACACTTTCTATGTGCGATAAGAACAAGGAAACGAATAAGAGCTTTAGGCCGTGGGCATAGCTCGCGCGATTCGATCGCCACGTGATCTGGTAATTTCCCAGATGTCTTCAAATTCAACACTAGACCTCAAAGGCATAGCATGTACAACTTTCGCAGATTGATAGAATGCCCTATCTTTCGTACATTCAGAAACCGATACGATGAGTTATGAACAACTGGGATTGCCGCATCGCTTTGCGACTTAAATCGCGTTAGATGCTACAAGGAAAGGATACTTGGTGATCCCGACCATTTGCTGCGCGACGTATAATACATAAGGTGCACCTCAAAATGCTGATTCTAAATCTGTGTTCGAAATCTGCGAAACGATCATATGAAGCAGTTATGAACTTTTTTTCGTAAAAATTTGCGTACTTGTAGGTGGTTAAAATCACCACTTTGGTATCTTACCGTTTGAAGCTATTGAAGAGAATCTTGAAAGGTGTACGTCGTTTGTATACCTATCTATCGCCGAGTCCTTTGTAATTTAATATGCGTAGTGCACAGTTTACACGCTACTGACGAACTGTAAAACTAGAACATGCTCATTTCCTGTAATTCCTCCTTCTTTCCTTTTTTCTCTTGTTTTTATTGGTTACATAGTTAGCTATTGGTTTGTTAGTTAGTAGAACACATTTCTACACTTTGTTGGGCTAGAAAATGTTTTACTAGGAAGTTACTAGTATGGGTGCCGTCGCTAATAGGGCTTAGTGTGCAGTCTCACACATTAAGTTACAAATGACTCGAGGTTAAATCATATTCAGCATTTGAAGAGGAAAAAAAATTTTTATTGGTGATTTTCACCCTCAGTAGGGCAGTTCATCCTTGAAAAATTATAACTCCATCCATATTCTCGTTTCGCAAATATGGAAAACAGTAATCGAACCAGCATCAAAGAGCGCATGATCTACAAACCATTATGAATGGCCGGGGCCACCAAGTATATTCTTCCCTACTTACAAGGGATCGATACTTGATGTCCGTGGCCTTTTGAGATGAAACGTATACCATCACACTCGTTTTGGAACGCTGATTCCGAATTTGACTTTCTTTTCTGCTAATCACTCTTTGAAAGAAGTTATGAAGGATTTTGCGTCAATGGTCGCCTAAGAGAAATGAGACGGAGGATGCCTAGCTTTCAAAAAGAAGCTCGATTAAGGCAATGCAAAACTGAAAAACACAAAAGGCTCGAATCTAAACCTACATTAACTTGCGAGGCTATCTCACTAGCTATTACATGACATCTCAGCGTCATTTTTGGCATTGCGACCACGTCTCCTTTGGCGCAAAAATTCTTCATAACTTCTTTTAGAGAAACGATTAGCAGAAACGGAACTCAGATTCGGAATCAGCGCTCCAAGATAAGTGTAATGGTATACTTCTCACTTCAAAAGGCCACGGACACCACGTATGTTTCCTTGTTAGACAAAAAACTCCATTTTTTGATTGCAATATCCGCCTTTCAATGCCTTCTTCATTCTTGAATTTAGACGTCATTGTGTGTCTTCAAAGTAGATAAAATCATCAGCATAAGCTCCAATAATGAAGAAGCGCTCACTAATTTTCTTAAAACATGTTCCAGATTTTTAAACCGCTTACAACACTCAAAATTCTGTAAAGCGGGCAATTTGTTCGCATCACCTAATCTTCTTGATTTCTTTGATTAACACGTTGATGACCGAGGCATTCTAGGCGAAACTTCCACCAATGTTTTTCGCGCATTTGGACCGTGAATATACGCGAACGCACGAATTCATTATGTGGGAGTCTTTCTGACGCTTATTCATGAAACATGCGAACTTTATTGAGAGATATATGTATTATCAGAGAGACTTGCCAGGCAGTGGCGTACCGAGGGGTGGGGGCGGGTGGGTGGGGGGGGGGGGAAGGGGAGAATGAATGGGACCCGAGAATGGGTTCCATTCAATCTCCCTATTCCCGAAATTTTGAAAGTTACTTACATAAGTGATAAAATGTGCAAGTGACTTGTTTATACTTGTAAATAATTGAAATAATTTTATAAATTTCTCAAAGATCCAATTTAGCCTAAATAGCCAAAATTTTATCGGGGTTAGAAGCCCGCAAAATTGAGAAGCTACCAAAAAGTTTTTCGGAGTGGAATGCGTGGCTAGCGCCACGCTTTCGCTACCCCCTTGCCCGAACGGAAATCCTGGGAGCGCCACTGTTGCCAAGAGTTACACAAATCAAAATTTTTGCATCGCTTTCCTCTCCAATAAACCATGCAATGGCTATATCTGGGGAATCCCTCTTCTCGAAAAGCGTTGAATACTAGGTGTTTTTTGCACTGATTTGTCTTTGTTTGCTTTCAGAATAGCTATACAGAGTTTTAGCCTTTTCAGAATAGCATAATTAGCGATTGTCCGCAAACGTCCGATTTAGAGCGATAATTCTCCCTCAATTTTCGCCTTTTGATTTTATCTTTACAGTCACCCTTTTTTGGGATTTAACTCGTAGATGTTGCATTCTCTGTCAAATCAAAGATAATTACAGATACTTGGTCTCGAGGAAACACTCGCAACTTTATAGTGTTGTTTCTTTCGCATGCTTGCATTTTGTCGCTTTTATGGTTTTGCGCACGGTGAATGAAAAGACGATTATTATCATATATTTTTCACTTTCTTTGCAATTGTGCCTTTGCCTAGCGCTTCTCAAATTCGTGAGAAGCTGATATTTAGTTTTATTTAGCAAAAAATGACAATAAAAGAATAGCTTTATTCAAATATTTACAGAGTTGATGAAGTTCAACTATATTAATCTGAAACTCCATGTATCAAATTATTGATATTCGCATTTAGACCCGTAATAACAAAGAAAATACCTAGAACAACATAGAATGTATTCAAACTCAACACTACTATCATTTTCGTGAGTGACAAGTTTCTTCGCCACTCCCGAAAGAAAACTACAGTTTCTATCAAAGATGGAAGTACAAGGGCCAGTAACATTCCGGATGTGACTCCTACAAGTGGAATAATCTGCTCGAGATTCGGAATTGCCCATGCGAGACCAACTGAAAACGAAAACTTTTTCGAATTTATGAGCTGTGGTGTGCCTGCGCCGTGCCACTGCCGTGTCAGCGCTGTGCTAGTCCTGCTCATAAGGACCTATGAGTACATGCTATCTATTTTCAGCTTCGATCGCATAAGATGGTAGGTCTTTAATGATTGCTGACATTCCGGCGCCTTTGTCCTATAACTGCGTACGTATTGATCGATAGAGCCAGCGCAGTCCCGACACAGTATTGGCATGGCACTGGAGCGGCGCTAGAACGGCGACGGCACTTTGGACGCCGCAGTTGGAAATAATATTGAAGCGTCACTCACGTACGAGGAAGACTATCGAGAATCGAAAGCAATACTCAAGGCCAATTATGTACGATCTGCTGACTTTTCGTTCTCGAAGTGGTTCTTTAGCCATAGGCCAAAGTAGCTCTACTAGTGGGTATTGCTGGATCAAAAAACTAGTATAAACGACGCATATCAGCATAACCTTCACCGAGATATTTAATCTAGAAAAAAAGGTTTTTACTACAATATAGCAGAATAATTTCGTACTTACGGAGAGTTCGACAAATTTAGAGTGATCGACGCTTGCAAATCGTCACCATAAGTAATAAATCCGTAAAATCCACAAGCAGCATAAACTATAGTGACCAGAGAGACCCCCGTAGAAAGTACCCCATTGAATCCGCCCATATCTTGCGGGTATTTCATTTTGTTTTCCACAGGCAACACCTGCAAGAGGACAATGTTATCTGGGAGTTTTCGGGAATTTTTTAATTGTCATACCATTGCTTGTCCTTCTAGTGCATACATGATAGAGCCGGCCGAAAGAACTATTCCACTAAAGTCCACAACTGCAGGTAGGTCCCGGGTTGGAATGTGTTTGGAAGATATCAGTTCCTAGAAAATTTTACCTGCCAACTACGAGCATCGGAAGATGACAAGAAAATTTTTACTTACACCCAGGATTATTCCTACACTCGTAATCATCAGAACATTTCCAAATAGTGAGAATAAGGAGAGAACATAAAGGCTTCTGACCAGCGATAAAAGCAAAAATGCAGGTAGAGCAAACAGAAAGTAGTCGTCTTTTGTGAGGGCATTGTCAGGCCAAACAAGATCGACGATCCGAAAATGGAAGGTTATTTAGGATGATTTGGGAAAAGATCAGGAATGGGGAAATATTGAGACAAAAGTGAATAATGCAGTAAAAATGTCATGATATATGACTGATTTGCAGCATTGTCACTAAATCTTGGATTTTTCAGAAATATAATAGGCTGTCAGTCACTGAAAATAAAACCAACCTCTTTAGCATGTTCGACAATAAAAATATAATAAACGCTGCAGATTCCACACTGTAAAAAGATCAAACAAGCGTTGACAAACCATCTGAATCCTTTTTTATTGTTTTCAAAGACCCGCACAATATTGAATCTTACCTAGCCACATATTTATATTTTGCAAACTTATCCCAATCAGCGAATGCTTCTTGTGCCAGTTGTCCGTAATCTAACGTGCCACATTTGTTCCTGAAGACTAGTAGCAAATTTGGTACATTCGTAATCTTTCAAAAATATTGTATGACTTACTTTCGGCACAAATATTGAGCGCTCTTGACTAGCTTTATCATAGAAATAATTGAGATTATACCGAGTAAGAAGTCTATGCCAAATGCTGCCTAAACGTTATGAGCTAAACAGAATATGTATATGGGCAGGGTCCAGAGTTTACAGTACGTCGGCGTTGTGCTAGCGTCGTGCCAGCGCCATACTGGCTCTCAAACGCGCTAGTTGATCGATCTGCGTTCTGGCACGGCGCAAGAACGGCGTCGGAACGGCTAACTCTGCAGCCTTTATTATCAAACTCACCCATAAACCAGCTTGTTTGAAAGCGTACGGTACAGCAAAACATCCTGGACCTATCATACCCTTGACGATATTGATGAGAGCAAATGTTGTGCTAGATAAGAAAAAATTGAAAAATGACATCATATCAGTCAAAAATTGTGAGGTCAAACAACTCACGAGATCTTCTTGGCTTTCTCAACTTTCTCAATTTTCTTAGAAGTTTCATCAGTCGCGATTGATGACGAGTCACTGACTTCAAAAGTTTCTGGTAGCTTCTGGTCTATGTCGACCACCCCAGCTGTGAAAGTCATCTAAAACAAAGAAAGTCAAAGAAGTGCCAGAAATTTGGCAAGGTGGCCAAATTTGCCAAAGTTCCGGGGCATTAGTCTGGTGATGAATTTAAGGAAAAGCGATCGTGATTAAGTGGAAACATGCGTCACAAATAAATTAAAATCATTTTTGGGATAAAATAGGATTTTTGAAGAATTCCACGACATCCTTGCGAAATTCCGTAGAGGGATACAGAAGCGCCGCAGGTGGCCCGCCGGAACTTTCACCTGCGGAATTTTCATCCGAATGTCTGAGGAAGAGTAGGGAATATTATTGACAACTTCGGTAAAACTGATCACAAAGGAGTAACTCAGCCGTTAATGTAAGCGCACGTTTTCCATTAAAAGGTTATTCTGCATTCCTTCAACAAAAATTATGAGAGAGAATATGGGCAAAGTTCTCATATTCAAAGTATTGTATGGATTTGCTTTTTAAAAGAACGGAAGGGCTGAATGGACTCCTAACCAAACAAAGACGAAAACTTAGATAAGCGAGAACATGGCCGATAATTGTTTATTGACATGATATAATTTGATAGTGAAGACATCATTGGTAATGGTTTTTCAGCATTGGAATGAATTTTTGAGGTTCTCTTGTGACTCAAAACTGTGAATTGAGAAAACTGCGCTAAGCGAATAGAACGTCCAAAGTCTCTCAGAATATTTTTTTGAAAATTTTGCAATTTTATACTGAGTTATGCAGTGATGTTGCACAAAATCAGTGATCAATCTCAGTGGTGATAGAATGATGTCATTACTGGTCTTCCAGAATTTTTTTTTTGTCGAAAATGTGGGACAAAACCATGACGAACCATGCAAAGCCAAATGTCACACAAATTATCAGAAGTTCACGGAATATTAAAGTTTTGGTTTTTCTTGATGTTACCATTCCAGAAAGAAAACTTTGTTACTGAAACGACGACATCTTATTTTTTTAGAAGCGAATGTGTTGTTCTCGTTATCTCTGAACTAAAAAATTCAAGTGAAATATTTTTTATCAGCACGCATACCAGTACCAACATACCAACAAGAAACTACGTAAAAGCTCAGAAAAAGCGAAGAGCGCGTGAAAGTGATAACAGTTGGAGATAAGGTAACGAACTTTGCGGAAGTTTTTGAACAAACTACAAAATCTAACCAAGTGGCTTAAAGAAGGTCTATTAGCTTTGTAGCTACAATTGGGAGCTAGAACTTGTTTGGGAAAATATTAGTGTAAATATGATATAGATCAAATTGCATGGTCACGCTTAAAAGTTGGCTACTACCTATTCGGCTAGTCCCCTTCAGAGCCTGGAGTGGATGAAATATTAGGTTGTAATAGGATCAGTGCAGATTTTTCCGCACACCTTTTTTAGAATGCTAGTTTAAAACGGAAAACCATTTTCCTAGAAACTAGTTTTTCATATCATTCAAATAAGCATTCCTTGGTTTCAATGGAAGTGAATTCGTTGAAAAATTCGGTGCCTGTGAATTTAAGAGACCAAATCTTCCAAGTTTTCTTTTGATATTCTTGGCTCTAAAACCACCACAAAAATTGGGATTTTCTCTAAAAATTTACATAGTGTTTTAGAATGTGTTTTACTGCACTAAACATAACAAATTGTGGCTTTTAAAAGTTTGTAAACCGAGAGAAGAATAGTAGGACATTTATAGCTAAAGAAGCCAGGAGCCATTCTTCCTTTTCAGCTTCAAAAATTTTCAAAAGCCCAAAAAATTCTTCACCTTCTCAGAGAGATCAAAAAAGAGTACTTTTGAACGCATACTACGTTGCCAAAAGTTTGCTGATTACACTAAATTTTATTGCACAAACTATTTGTGTAGGAAGCTATAGTGATCCAAACTCGAAATCCAAAAACCTGCATCAATTCTGTTACAACCCAATAAAAACGATAAAATAGTATGGTTCAATGAGGCTGCAATCGCAAAAAAGTGGGAAGTCCAGTGCCTCTTTTGTAGTCGCTGCTTCTCATTGAAACTCTATCATCACCGTTTCCTGACTTGAGGAATTCAAAGGAATTCTCATATGATTCACTGCTACCTTTGTGAACACCAATTCAGTTTTTTCTACCCACGTCAGTTCACATCCAAGCTGCATCTTATTGGAAAAGATAGAAAATCATTGGAGTTCGAGTTGTATTAGAACTTCTGACAAGTGGAAACTCTCACCAAAAGGATAAGAGCTGATTTTTTCTCAAATTTTTCGGAAATCTAGTGATTTTGCCAGGAAAACTCCCTTGTAATTGTGGTCTGATTTTTCTCAGTAAGAACTGTTACAGTTTTGAGCTCTTAGGGGAAAAGATCAGGTTTGCATGAGGTTGTTCCAGAGACCGAGCACTATTCGCTATTTTCGCATGTTGAGGCGCTCGTCGACCTGCGTGGGATACGTTGCTATATATTTCGCGCCGCTATAGATTCGCTGTTGCATTTCTTTGCCAGCGTGACGGCAAGAGGAGCACTCGCAGCCACACACCGGTCCGCCATGTGATCGTCATTGCTGTGAGCGAAAGTCCCTGGACCAGTGGCCGAAAGGGTCACCCCTCAGGGGAGAACCGTAGCGGAAATAGTCCCAGCAAAGGAACGCTCAGTATGCGAACAGCATAGGGCTTACTCTGTCAGTCTCGCTCTTTTGTACTGCAGGATTTCACGGCAATATCTACCCAGAAGGTTTCAATCACTTCGTCATTTTTGCGCCTTTACGAAGGCTCATTCAAATTATGCAATACAAAATGCGTAAAAACCCAGCGTCCCTCTTTGAAAACCTTTTTTTTTGGGATTAGGGCAAGTGGACGCTAGTCTGATGGGAACATGGTTACCAGTAAGGGGATCGATTATGCTCCCATGTCATAGCGCGTCAGATTATCTCTTGAGTGGGCGGGGCGTGCCCAAAGGAGGCGTGGTTGACGCTCTCGTGGATAAACTCGTCCTGTACGAACCATATTGGTAAGCCAGATCAATTTGTATATTTCCGTTCCAGGATTTCTTTCTTGATTAGCACTTTTTGGGCGGATGCTGCTTTTGATAAGTTTTTCTTTTGACAGTAAATTACGAGAAGCAGTTTTATTCAGATAAATAAAAGTTAAAGTTGGCAACTGCGTTCATAATCTGTTAGTAAGGAAGTTTGAATCTTCGATGACATAATTTTGGCTTTCTTCATGAGCTTGAATTACTTCATAATTGCAGTACTACTTCCTTGAAATTTTGCTCATGAATATTAGTATAAAGGAGCGCTTCCTTTTCGAACCCTAAATGCATAGCTTCTTTTCTCTTCGATCCAAATTTTTCAAAAAAAACCACCTTCCAACGCTTTCTTTGTTGACTTTTCTCTATTACTATAATCTAGAGCTGTATTTATCTTTGCCGTGAATAAACTATCATCTTCCCATTCATACTTCTCCGAAAACGAGTACTTTTCTCTTTTCATTGCTCCAATGAACTAAAAGGCCTCGAAGTAGTTTGAAATTGAACAGGTACTGCGTACCCAATTATAAATTTTGTAGTAATCAGGTCGGTCCTGGTAACCAAGCGTTCGCAAGTATTTGGCCATGGCTACAAATTCTTCTGGGCATTCCTGAAAAGCTATGACTTCTCTCAGCTATCTGTGGGGATTTTGGAAAACCTTAAACACATTCTCGTCCGTCTCTTTTTCCTTCATTTTTATGATCTCCTTCTCAACAGTCATACGATTCCACGGAAGTCCAACGTACAACTCGCCTAGCATGTACAGCATAGCCCAAAGATCGTCCACTCGTGCCTAATTGCCATATTCAAAATTTCATATTATTTATTGTAAGTTGTAAGGAGCGCGATTTACCTGCTCCAATCTTCTATGCACACTCAAAGAGCAATATCGCAATGTTCCGCGTAGGAGCACATTTTTTCTGGGTTTTCGCAGCGAAATACCCTTTGCGTCTCTCACGACGAAGTTACGGACCATGCCTACAATCAGAAAATTTCTGTACATTATACGAAGAGCTGTTCTCTGCTACCATAATCTATCAAAAAGATTATTCGTCGATCTCTACCATTCGCACCATTCATCATGTTACCAGGCTTGACGTCTCTGTGAACGAAACCGATTTCATGAAGCTGAAATGCACAGTCTTCCGTACAAGGAAATATTCGACACTCAAAAAGTCAAAAACCTGTTTTATGGCATAGAGTGCATGTACACCAATGCGAAGTATGGTGCTCTCACTAAAGCCCTCTGGTGATCTTTTCTTTAGAGACATCAAATCAGAACCACAAATAGTCATGACTATGAAACTGAAAGAGGCCATGATGTCGTACTATAGAAACAACGAAAGGTCCTTTTGCACCACTACAGTATGCGGTATTAGATTCCGCATACTGTGGTGATGCAAAAAGGTTTTATGTTGTTTGGAACATAAGGCTCCCGCCAGAGTGCAGAAGTTATGCCAGCGCTACGCCAGCATTTCGATCGATACACGTGTATTTCGCTGGGGCGGGGCTAGCTGAGGGTTAACGAAATACACGTGTATCGATCGAAATGCTGGCGTAGCGCTGGCATAACTTCGGCACTCTGGCGGGAGCCTAAGAGTCGCACAAGCGCGCGCGAAGGCGGTTTTCGTTTTTTGATCACCTAGGCAAGAGGGGCGGTATACAGCGAAATATGATAACTCTCTTGAGGACCTCACGAGGTTACGGTAGCATACGGTGTGGGTCCACAACTGCCCTAAATGCGCTTTTCTTCACGAGACCTACCTATATTTCGACCGTTTTCCAGCCATTAGCAATCGTATAACATTCTTCCTATTTGCTAATTTCTTCAACACTGCAGCTTCAAGTTTCAATACGCCACTGTCGTCTTCTACTATAGCCTCGGCCTGAATGCTCCATTTGACTACCTGCAATGATGTCTTCTTCCTTACTTTCAGTGCAGCAATGTAGCCCTTTCGTTGCATATCTTCGACCTTGTACACACTGCCGCAGCCTCCAGCACCGAGTCGCGCTAGCACTTTCCAGCGACCACAGACCACCTTCAAGGATAATGTATCCGACCGACAGGATCCGTCTAACAGCTATGGAACCACCTTCCCATTGGCGAACGCTATCGCATCGTTGCCCATAGGTCGGAGTGGTAATCCAGCTTGCGATGATCGTCAGATGAGTCGGGATGTGAGTAGAACTGAACTACACTAAAGTTTTCATGGTGGTTATATAGTGAGAGTTGTTTATGTTTACATCGCCGAAAGCTCTAGAATTATCTTGTGGTCATGTTGTCTAGTAGAAAGGCTTAAGACGGTCGTATCAAAGTTTATAGATGTGTGACTCATTTTATCCAGAATCGTCTGCTCATTAACGTAGAAATTTGAAAATCACTCCGGTTTTAGATAACTCAGCTTGATACACTATTGTTCCAACTAGGACCCAGCAGGGTAACAAATGAACACCTGTATATTGAATTCGCCTTTGCCACTTTCGATTTGTACGATTTTCCTGATCGCACCAGCTGCTTAGGTTGTTCATTTGGAGGCGCTTTCTCCCTCAAGAGGACCGGCGTCATTGGTATTTCAGGTCCTAATAAAAAGGAGAGGAAGGTTTCGAAAACTAAATGTTATATAATGATCCTTGAGTGCAGAACAGGATTCATATAGAAATTTGAAAAATTTGCTCCACTATCAGGGTGGCATTAAGTAACTTGGAAAAAAGTTAAGCACGCTCTTCAATCACATAAGTTTTTCTAAATTTTCATACTGTGTTTTTCTTAGTCCAACTGCGCGTACACACACCAAATATCGTGCCATACGTTGATATGTGCGTTGAAAATGAGCCATTTCATCATTTCGTGGCAGTGGGAAATTTTCAAGGAATGCTTGCCAAAATTTATCACATATTTTTCCATGATACTCTGCACTATGCCCCGCCTAGCCCTCGTCTGTTTATACACCTTGTTCGTACAGTTCATGTTAATCACGTGCTCTCTTTTCCGTAAGCGCAGTGAGTTTCGCGCCACGTTCGCGCGCGTATGGCTCGGGCATTCAAATTGGCCGTATCAATTGGCGGTCCGCGCGCAGGGCCCTTGCGTTGCGCATGCGTAGGTCCCATGCGAAAGGGAGTACGTAATTGACATCGACTGTAGTCACGTCGTTATGTAGCCGCTGCAAACGAGACAATAATCACTACTAGATGGAAAAAAATTGGATCTGTGAATATGACGCGCAAGCAAAATTGTTTCTGCACGTCTGTATCGACATGTAATAAAGCCCTCTTTGCTTTTTTCTGAAAACGACTTTCAGCTTGACATTTGCCACCCTTGCGACTTTGCATAAAAATTCGATACTCACAAAGGAAGGATACTTGGTCGAAGTGGAATTGTTTAGAAATGTATGCCGTCCAATAGGGCATGAAACACTGGTTCCAAATCTGCTTTCGGTATTTGCAAAGCGCTTCTGGGAAGGGAGTTATGGAAATTTAGGCAAAAATTCAAGGGTTTGGCTAAGCCAAAAACAAGTGTTGAGGTCCTCCTGGAGCTCGAAAGAAATAGTGAATAGCATAAGTTTATCAAACTGAGTATATTGATTACATAAAGCACCCTGGCAGTGATCATTGCCTCAACTGAGCTCACAGACTACAGTTCTAAATGATTTTGTTGTATTTGCGCGCTGAAATTTTTGCGTAAAAAATTCTCAGAACTCCCCTCCTAGAATCGCTTTGCACACATCGAAAGCAGATTTGGAATCCGTGTTTTATGCCCTATTAAACGGTATACATTTCATACAGAAACGCCACTCCAACCAAGTATGCTTCCCTTTTCAGATTTGTGGACACTGCCCACATAAAACGCTCTATTGCGGCTACTTTCATGATAAAAAAGACAATTTTCCTTGTGTGCGTAAGATAATGACACTATGCATAATATCTTCGTTGCGGATCTCTTTTTCCTGCAGCATCTTCATCCATTATATTTAGGGCATATACTTCCTAAAACATTTCGAACTAGCAATAAATCAGATGCGGTAGCAAATGCCCATAGATTCTAATAAAGGCGCAACCGCCGACATTTTGATTTAGTTTTCAATAGTGCATATAAGAAACCTTAGCATCTTAATTTATGACAATGTCTTCAGAACTGTCACGGAAATACTATTTGCAGGTTTGACTGTAGCAGTACGTTGTAACAGAATTTATCTTTGTTTATTCTCGCGCCTTCGCTTGCCACGACATGCTACTGGAATCGTTGCTATCATTGTTCTATTGCCTATAACCATCATTCATATAGATGTACCATTCTTTTCTTCAAATTTTTATAAGAAAGCAGCGGACGGCTTGGAAGTTGCAGGTTACCCCTAATTTCGAATGGGATGGTTGAAAAAAAAAACTGCTGTTTGTAGCAATATTCGAAAATGTTTGAGCAACCTCTCAAAAATTTATCAATGTTCCAGAAACGGTCGATGAACTTCCGAAACACATCAGATTTTGCGTTCCTACATACGATTTGATCGAGCACGGTGTTATGTCCAATATTGGAAACCGAAGAAAAGTATTGAGTTTACGGCTGAAATGTTACTACGATAGCATACCAAATGGACCAGATAGAAGCTTAACATTGGTGGGAGCGTATGCGTATCCCAATTATTCTGTAGTCACTTTTGAGGATGAACATCATTTTGGGTACGTTACAAGCTCAGACAGAAGAGTGTCACTTGGAAAAAAAACGGGGAAAAAATATAATCAGTGTGATAAACCTAAATCGTTACATCTAACGACGAGGAGATACTAAGTCGATCCAGTCACTTGTAGGAAGCATATAAGGCTCATTTCGTTTTAAAACGTCAAGCTCAAATCTGCGTTCTTATCTGCTAACCGCTCTCCTGAACGGTCAGTGTGGCGCTTTTTATCTGCTGTTCAGAGCTCCTTTTGGATGCTGAATATATGGTCAAAACTCTTTTGAGAAGACCGTCAAGCAGATAGTGAATGCAAATTTGAGCTCTGCTTTTGAGAAATTTTTTGATTTATTTCAGACACACAGTATTCTGTCGTTATTTTGATGAGCGCAAGGTCGAGCTCGGTCCCGGCGTCAAATCCGTTGTCTTTCCCGAGCATGTCGTTCACTGCTGCAGACACGATCGAGCTGCTTACATGAGTGTCACCTATAGAAGGTTTGCAAATGTGACTGTCCAGGTTCCTGTCCTGGTTAGAAAAGGTGAGATTTCCTCATTGTTGTGTATTTGGCTAAGAGCATTCACTTATTGTTAGCTGACAGATACATCTTATCGTTTTGCCTTTCACCGATATTTGGAAATGAGACAAAGTGGCTATTGCTAGCTGAAATGATTGAACATTACAAATTGCAAGAGGTTGAGCACTTCTATCTATACATCCAAACAATCGATAATTATTCTCGTAAGGTGAATAACGTAATTCTTTGGTCATGATTATGACATTTACCACATTGGTTTAGCTTGTCGATGACTATGTAAATACTGGAGATGCTGAGATCGTATTTATCAGTGAAAAATCTGAGGGAAGGTGGCTGCAGCTTTATGGAATACAGGTAAATACACTCACTTAACTGGAGTGCGTTATCCACCATTCATTTTTTCTGAAACTGCTTGCCGTAAAATTCAACTTGTGATCCACGAACGTCACTGCATAAACAAAAGTCTCGTTAGAGACGAGCAAGATGGGCTAAATGCAGCTAATATAGAATCTCCGCTGCATGTACAAAGTTTGACGTTTGATATAGTGTCCGCGCGGCACCTACAACGTTTGTGCGCAAACAAATGCATGCTTGCAAATGCCGACAACTTGCTTGCGCTTCGCTCGTAAAAAGTGGTCATAGCCCATCGCCAGCGTTTACGCGCAAGTACTGCCTCCAATGCACAAAAACCTATATATACTGGCAAATTTGCTATCAATATTGTGATTCTTAAGCCGCCCAAAAAATATTTGAACTCAATAATACGCACGCGTCAATCATTTAGTAAACAACCCAAATACTCATATTTTTTCTTTCTCTAGGAATGTCTACAACGTAGCCGTTACCACTCACGCTTTGCAATCTTCGCTGATTTGGATGAGAGAATCTTGCCATTAGGGCTAGAGGAGACACTATCTTTGTATATACAGTCAGCAAGCCTCCAATGGTGCCGACGTTCCTACTCACAGTGTGCTTTTCTAGACGGAAAATTCTCGAGAAACCGAGTGTAGGCATGGTGGATTTTCACCAGACATGGATACTACGCACCAAAAGAGCGCCGAGCAGATTCGAAGTAATTTATTTTCTGTTATGAAATTCAAAACCTTGTCTTTTGATCACAATAGCCACTCTAACTATATCATAGACAGGGTGAGAAGACTCTTCTCGAACACCTGCCAACTCTCAATTATCACAACACCTCAGCACCAGGGCCGCATACATTCAAATGTGCAGTCGATACGCGAACGGTACATTTGGGGGCACCGTGCACTCAAATAGAGGGTATGAAGTTTTGGTGTTATATAATAGCGGGGCCGCTAACCAGCAAAACCACTCTAATTCTACTGCAAAATATGATTTCCAGAACAAGATAACCGCTCACAAGGTAGAAGCGGTCATGCTAGCTCCGCCCATCAATGTGATAATCTGAACATACAAGTTCGAAACTGGGCTTTAGGGTAAACAGAAAGGGCGCAAATTTGATGATCATAATGCAAAGCGGATCTATGACAGTTCTGAATAAACTGAAGCCCGAATTTGGCTTGTAATCTTTAGACCACCCAGGTTGATGGGCGGAACTAGCGTGGCGGCTTCTACTTTCTGAAGCTGTTTTCTCGCGCTGGATCTGATCTTTAGCAGTGAGACTTGGGCGATTGTTTAGTTAGGGTGCTACTATATAGCATCAAAATCTCATCACCCTCAGTTTGGGTAGATGGTGCACTCAAGCTGTCTAGTACATTTCTGAGGCGCCAATTAAGGTCATGATAATGTGGGTCCATGAAGTGATTATGTTCTTTCCTGGATATAATTTCACGCGAGCGCCACCCAAAGAAGCGGTTATCAGGTGATTTCTCATTTTGCTCAAGAATGAGAACTTCAACAAACCAAATGACAACAGAGTCCAAAAGAGAACTTTTAGGCATTATC